CTTTATATAAAATTATATAAATGTTATGTTTAAAACACTGTTCACAACAATAAGGAAACGGGGAAAACAATATTTCCACATGAATATGCACTGTAATATATGTAAATACATTGTTTACTATGTGATTCAACATGTGTTCATTCAGATGCATCAAAATGGCATTATTGTTGTTAAAAGAGCATTTGCAGAAAAGAGGAATTAGGAGATTATGGTTATTTAGTGTGTAACAATATTTTCCTGTTAATGCTATTACCTGCAAGAGTTAGATATACTAGTGGGTGGAGAGGATAATGGATGCATAATAATTGTGCTTTCTCCTGCACAATTAATCCTATGTATATTTGCTGCCTTGATCTAAATATCCAATTTATTAAACTATTGCTTCCATCATAGAAACTGTAGTCCATATGTCCACAGATTTTAATGTTAGCCCCATATAAGAACATCTTATATGTTCTGTCCAGGACTTTACACCTGTGCAGCAAGTGCACAGTAACATCTTAATTCACAGCAAATGTGCAACTGTAAGTCACCAACACATTTGTGCTGTTTGCAAAAATGATATACAGTCATAGAATTGCAGATGGAATCAACCCAAGGGTCAGCTACTTCTATGTCCTACCAATACAGGAAATCCACCTAAAGCTGAATCTATTTATTATTGCTTACTTGTATCAATTATAAACCCCATGATAAATATCTTCCCAAAATGGGTTGCATATAACATATATACACAGTGCTTACTGGGGTTAAAGTGCTACACTAAGACTGAGGAAAAAGGACTGCGGGATAGCTCAGTGCTTTAGGTGTGGAGCCCGAGGTTGGGAGTCTGCTTAACTGTCCCTGCTTTGCAAGAGCTGGACTCAATGATTCCAGCTCTGTAGCTCCAAGATTACTTATTCTATGACAACCACTGATATTAAGGCCAATTGCTTACTCTGCCAAAATAATCCACATAACATGGATTATAATAAAAGACTGGATTTTATGAAGTTAAAAATGGGGTTGGGATACCCTTGTCATCTCCTCCACGTCCTTAAAAGAAAGGCAAGATATAAATGCAATACAAACACTATATCAATATTGAGTCACAAGGATAGTGTAGCTCAACAATTATGCCTAAAGTTACAGTAGAAAGCTTTGTGGAAGAAGAAAATGCAGTTGGAATATAACTTGGACGTTTACTTAAACTATTATTTAAAATTAATTCAAAAATATTCCAGATCCATCCCCATACCCAGTTAATGGGGGAGTTTTTTAAAGAGTTTCTAAAAATCAAGAGGACATTGCAGGGAATAAAGAACTGAGAGAACATAGTTTTCCAAATTGTTGCTAAAAGGCTTCTGGCCAAAGCAATCAGCTAAACCAATCAACCAAACTGTTCTGCACCTGCATACAACTTACTCAAACAGGGCAGCATGCAAGAAATCCTAATTCTGAAAAAGGTACTGAGGTATCATCAATATTTTATTTACAGTCCTTAGACCTATCATACAGAAAAGTGGACAGCCCAGATCCACGCAGTCTCTGCAATATGTAAAAACATCAAACACAGACATAAAATAAACACGTATACATGCAATTCAAAACCCTCCATACCAATACCAGAGTCAAGTATGAGGAAATTGCTGTAGTATCATAATTTCTGTTCATGTTTTATGTGGAAATTCTTCTGACATTTAGATAAAGAGCAGTTGCTTCCCCTCTCCCGTGCACAGATGGGAGTTATGGATGCTATACAACTTCTATATCCAAACTTTTATTGATAGCGAGTTTCTCTTTAGGCTATTTTACTCTAGCTATACCATAATGTACTACTGATAATTACAGGACAGAATCCTATTAGTGCCTTCTGCTTGTGCAATGGTCAGTTATGTGGGTGACTGTGCAAGGAAGTATCCAGTAATATCTCCTTATGCAAACTCATAGCCTATCCAACTCCACACAAAATGGACCACTGTGCAAGGAATAAGAACACTGGAACATGATTCTGCTAAATCGATGAGTTTATTTAGTGATCTTGTTGTATGGTCATGTATTTGTGTTTTGTTGCAGTTGTTGTTGCCTGTAGCTTTCCTTCAAAATACAATAAAACCCTATGTAGAATAAAAAAGCAAAAGCTGCAAGCAAAGGGAGGTGAAGAAACGCATAGCAATGAACTCTACATACATCAAATGGGTTTCTATGAAATGGGAGCCCTTTGTCCTGTCTGGTCTGAACCTTTGGAAAGACCAGGGGCGGGGCGGGGGAATGCCTCAAAGTGTCCCACTAATAGGATGGAAAATGCACAAGCAGAGCAGCTTGCTTTCCCATTAGAAACAATGGGATGTTTATGCAGTGTGGCATATTAGCAGTCACCAAACCAGGGAGTTTCCCCCCAAAATTTGTCTGAAATCTGATAATTTGATGCTAAAGATTTAAATATTTTAAGTCATAATGAATGACAAACAGAAAAGGTGCCAGCAGAAGAAATGTATCTAGGTTTTATGACTGGAATAAATGAAAAATTAAACTATTAAAATAAAAAAGAATTTACATTTTCAGAAAGCCTGGATTGAAGTTCAAGAACACGTAGATAACAATCTACCTGTAGTACAAAACAATATCACATCACATTGTTTTCCTTAGCTGTAACACTGTACGAGTTTTAAGTGGGAGGAAAAACCTGTTACAAAGTGTTCCATGCTCTCAGCATGTGATAGTTTGTGGATTCTTAACTGAGTGCAATCTTACCAAATTTTCTCTAGAGGTTCAAAGCACTTAATCTAAGAACAGACTATTTCCATGCCCAATTTCAACTTTAAACTTTCAAGTATTTTAGTGAGATGGTTGGCATTTTCATTGAAAAGGAAGGTTTCAATTTTTAAAATTTAAAATTTAAAAAATTACTTTTTTCTTTCTTAACCACATTTGAAATTATTCATTGAAAATTAGCTCAACTATTCCCTTTAACTTTAAAAAGTACCAGCACAAAGATTCTTCCTGGAATAACTACAGATTTCACTACACACATACAGAATTCCAAAAAGGTATCACTGACACCTTTAGTGTGTGCAGATTTATTTGCAACTAAATCTCACTGATTTCAGAACTTACTTCCATACGATGTATTTTTGGATAGAACAATGGTCCTAATAATAATTGCATTGTGGTGTCAATACATTTAGGACTGAGATACAAATACCTGGAATGACTAACTCTTCACTTTAAGTCTGGAACCTTCTATATTTCTACTCAGAAGTAAGTATCATTGTATTTAGTGAAGCTTTATTCAAGGTAAATGAATCAAGAATTATAGCTTAATTTTAATTTTAAAACAACACTACAAAAGTCACTTTAATTTTATTCAAAAAATAACACTACAAAATATGCAAACATTTAACTGGATAAACAAGATATTTCACTGTGAATGATGTTAACTCAATTAGAGCATGTCTGTTTGTAAATTACACTTTTGTTCTACTATTTCTCAGGATGGCGATTACAGCAAATAGATCTTTAGAAACAAAACCCCCCATCAACACACAAAACGACAACACCAAGGGATGCTCATCGATGAGCATACATGAACATGGACCTCTCTCAAGATTCAACACAGTTGCCTAACTACCCAAAGGTCAATGTAAGAAAACAAAAACAGCTAATAGGCAAGTCCTGGAAAGCCATTCTTAAAGACCTCATTGAAATTCTTGGAAAGTGCTACTTCTCCAAGCAGATCTGTTCAGCTCTTTGAACCATTCTAAGGCAAAATAAACGAATAAACCAGCAAACCACACCATTTTCTTCAAATCACAAAACAATTCCAGAACCTCAACAAAATTAGTAAGCATTAAAATAAAATAAAATAAATTTCTTCTTTGCAAACACACACACACACACACACACACGAAAAAAACCTGGAGGAGAGAGATCTCAGGACACCCAAACTTCATTTTTTGTTTGAAGTGCTTAAAATCTAAACAATCTATCATGCGCAAGATCTCTCTGGGAGATGTGTAGAATAACTTAAGCCTGTCCCACTCTCCTCCTTAACGATGATTGTGTCTCCCAACCCACAAAAGCGTTATTAACTGGAGGCAAAGGGGCGAGGGGAGTGGGGGAAGAAGCGCAGCACTTCTTTTAAGAGCCAGAGGGCAAAATACTTCTGATCTCCCACGCACTTTGCAGCTGCCACAATCGCCGCGTGTTGCGTGTTGGCGCCGGGGGGCTTTCCGCTCGTTCGCGTGTCGCTGTCAAGCCTACCAAGGGATGCTCCATTAAGGGAGAGAGGACGGCAGCAGCTTTTCCCTCATTACCCGGGGCAGCACGAGGGGTTGGGGTTGGGGGGGGGTTGAAGAGGACCGCCTTTCCTCCCCCCAAGATTCTCCCCCCCCTCACACACACATACACCGAGATTCACAGGCAAACAAACAAACAAACCCAAGCAACAGACCACATTCGAGGAATTCCTCAAAATTCCCCATACGGGGCTCACTCACTTCATAGCAGCTCCTTCGCCAGAGGGACCCGGACTAAAAAAGGTCCCTTTAATGCCCGCGCCCACCAGCTTCTCCCCTAAAAATACCACACATACACCACAAGGGCAACCCCCCTTGCCCAGCTGCCACCCAACTGTCAGCTCCCGCCTTCCACCCCATCTGCCCTTTCTCGGCACCGCGTTCCCTCTCCCCTCATCAGCCCCCACCCCCACCCCCTCGTCTGGACCGCTCGCTTCCCACTCACCCACCCCTCTCTCTCCTGCCCGCCCTCCCGCCCTTCGGCGGCGCTCCTGACCCCGGCTCCACTCCCGCCTTGCACATGGCCGTGAAGGGAAGGCTGCACGCGGTGGAGAGCCAGCCGGGCGCGCGCCTCTTCCTCCGGTCCAGCCCAAACCATAGCTCCGTCAATTACGGCTATTATCATTATTATTATTTTTTTTGAAGAAACAAAACTGCTTCAATTCGCTTCCTCTCGGGAAGGGGAAGGAACGGTCCCCTCCTCCTCCTCGCACCACTCCTTACCGAGAGGGAAAGGGAGCAAATGGGGCTGACGCTGCAGCCGACTCAGTTCATGCCCGAACCCCAAGGAGGAAAGGAGGCGGCGTGCTGGGGCCGGCCGGCCGAGGAGCCCACGGGGTTGTTAAAGACCCGAGAAGCTCAGCAGCTGCTCTGGCTGCTGCCGGGTGGCGGCGGCGGCAGCAGCTCGGAGGGCTCCAAGCACCGGTCGCCGCGGCTGCTGCTGCTGCTGCTGAGGGGCGGACATGATGAGGCAAAGTCCGGCTCCGATGCTGCTGCCGCCGTTTCGCTGGGGTCTCTATGGCTTCGCAGACGCCAGGAGCTGCTGTTGTTGCTGCTGCCGCTTCCGTCGACTCCGAGTCCTGGGCTGCGAGGGCGGGAGAAAAGGAGCGAGGCAGAGAGTGGGAGCGCGGAGGGAGTTTGCCAGCAGTTCAAAGAATGATCCTGGTTCTTCCGCGGCGATTCCTGCAAGTCTGGTCGAAGTTCGGGGGTCTGAGCTGAAAGACTCAGCAGGTCAAAGGACAAGGGGTCGATTTCCATTTTAGACACGATCCACGGAGCGTTCTGTTCGGGAGATCTGTTCAGACGTTCCACATGACACGCTAATAAAAAACGACAAAGAAAGGCAGTCGTGGGGGTCCGCATTGAGCAGACGGCCCCGATTCCTGCAAGTCTGGTCGAAGTTCGGGGGTCTGAGCTGAAAGACTCAGCAGGTCAAAGGACAAGGGGTCGATTTCCATTTTAGACACGATCCACGGAGCGTTCTGTTCGGGAGATCTGTTCAGACGTTCCACATGACACGCTAATAAAAAACGACAAAGAAAGGCAGTCGTGGGGGTCCGCATTGAGCAGACGGCCCCTCATCCCGATCTCTCCAAGTTCCTCACCTGAAGATCTTTTGAAAACACCACATTGGGACTTACAAATAGGGGCGCTCTCTTGTTAAAACGGGCGCACACTTTGAAGGAGAATAAAGCTCCGTTCAGACGTTCACTTCAAAGGCGGGATGGGAACAGCTGGTGCAGTTCCCTCCCACTTCTTTGATGCCTGATGGAGCTGAAGTAAACTATAAAGGAGTTTGCAAATTGTAGAAATGATGGTTAGGATATGGCTAGATTCTTAAGCAAAAAAAAAAATGATTGGCATGTTTAAACACATGTTGTTCCTACCCAAAATCAAGTTGTTACTGTTCTGTGTGGCAAACTCTTAATAGAAACAACTACCATATACACTATGAGTACACCTTCAGACACATCTTGGATTTTGGAACCAAGTGCATACTTCTTTCTTCAAACTGCCCATACAAAATTTGAACAAATAAAGTAGTACTGTATATGAGTCAAGTGTGGATTCCTCTAGCACTCAGCATAAAATGGTTATCTGAAATGCTTCAGTGTATGCCAGATTTGTAACTTGCAAAGCAATAATCATGTTAATGTTTTGCACCAAACCTAACAGATTCCAAGCATCTGAAGTGCTGAGACAATAATTTGGGTATAAGCTTCTATAGTACATAGACAACGTATGCCATGATGATACTTCAGGGGTTTTGTTGTTGTCTTTTATCCAATTGGCAACTAAATTTTTAATTGGCAATCCTTAGAAGAATGTCAATGATAGAACTTAATTTTGAGATCTCTGCTGTAATAATGGTAAATGAGATCTGTGTTGCAAATTGGGCCTAAATGAATGTGGATCTTATCATGTGAACTGTGTTTATTGGCAAAACACATGTATTTTTTTTAATGTCCCCAGAGCTTATAGAATATCAGTGTCCCTTATTTGGTCGTTTTAAATCCAAAGTACCCTTTAAGCTTAAATTTTAGGTAATGAGATGGCAACATGAGGAATTAATTGAATATGTAGTTAGTTGTTTATGTTCTTCATTCTTGCATATTCTGACATAAATTGTGTTGTGATTTCAGAAAAGTACACTGTTAAAAGTAATCTCAGGAGCACCACTCCTTCTTTTTAACTACCATACTTTTTTTTAAAAAAAAACTAGCATGTATCCCTTCATTTCAGTCAGATTCAGCATCCATCACAGTATCATATCACATGCTAAATCTGGGGGCAGGAAAAGGGAGAGAATGAGAAAAGAGGGGAAAAAAGCTCTGGTTCATTAAGACCTCACCCAACAAATTATTCCAACTTTCACTCATATCTGCATGGCCCTAGAATGAGTTCACGTCCCTACATGCCTCTATAACAAATTCAGACTCACATTCAAGGAGACGTATGAGACGTTCCTGGCAAGTGAGGCTGTCAGGGAGATTGGAGGCAGCACTTTTCCATCATTGTTTAGGGATAACGCTCTTTCTGAACATTCCTTCACTGCAGTGTCCTCTGTACCATTGAGACAAATGGACACCACCCATGTGCAGTTTAGAACCTTGAAGGCTTGCCAGAGTAGAGTTTAAGAAAAAATACGGATGATCTTCCCCAAACAACCTAATAATGATCGGTCCTGTTTACTGGAAACAGAATGATGCCTGAATAGTGGCTGTGAAGAATTGGGCAGGGGTGTGTGTGGAATACTGTGATCTCTAGAAGACATAATGGATGGGTGGGTGGGATATGAAGTTGAGCACTCCAAACTACAACATTTTATTGCAGATTCCTAGCCCAGAGAAAGTGATAATCCTCACCCTTTGTAACAGTTCCCCCATGGACAATTCAAAAAATGAGAAAAGTGTCAAGGTTTAAATATCACGTATGCAGGATTTCTCTGGCCAGCATGGATCATGACCCTCCCTTCATGTATGTGTTAGTTGCTGATAATTTTTATATTTTAAAAATTGTTTTATAATAGTTGCATGATTTTGTTTTAAAAAATATTGGATTTTATGGCCTAAATTCAATTACTGATTCCAACTACAGGTGTGGCTACACAAGGAAAATGAGAATTAAGTCGCATTCTCTTGCTGTGAAGTTGGCCTGTGGCATTCAGTTCTCTTTGATATAGGTGGCCACACAAGCAGAGGAGAAAAAAAATGCCTTGTAATTGCAGTTCCATTTGAAGCTCCTGCAGGTAGTGCTGATCAAAGGAACTACCTTAAGAAGGCTTTCCTTCCCCAGCCCCTAATTTCTTCATCTTTCTGTCTAGTAGAGCTCCTTAATCTGTGAAAAAAAATAAAATAAACAGGCACTCTGCCCCCCAAGAAGCTGTTAGAAGAAGTGTCTTAGAAGAAAAGCTTTGCAGACAGAGGTGAATGCTGGCACTGCTTGTGTGTGCGCATGCACATGCTCTCTCCTCGTCCTCCCTCATGAAGCAAGAAGTGAGGGGAAAAGATGCTTTGCCAAACCACCACTTGTGTATTCGTATGTCTTTCCTTTCTGTATCATTTCCAAGTGATCACAAGCTTTGAACTGAAGTGAAAGAATTCGACTTTTAAAAAGGAGAAGGGTCTCTAGTGGGAAGGGAGCTGTGGGACTTTGGGCTGATTCGCAAGACCTGTTGCACCATGTGGTCAAAGGAGAAAACTGTGAAACAGTCTACCCCAAACCTGTAGTATTTCCTGCATTATTTTCAGGTGGAGTCAGGCTCTCATTGTTTCAGTTGTTGAATAGTGAGTCAACACTATGTATAACCCAATGATTCAGTAGGAAGTGACTTGGGACTAAGTATAATATGTTGGCCTGCATATTTATCTAAAACACTAGAAGATGTTCTACAATGCAGTAGACAATTATGAATTGCACAAATAAATATATGAATTGCTGCTTATGTGCTGAAAATATGATCAAGGATAAAATCAATTAATTCATTTTCAAAGAAGGGATGTAGAATATAGCACTCTTGGATACAGAGTGTTGTAAGCCCACTGTCCACATTGTTTCTGCTGTTGGCTGGAACTGATGTCTGTGTTTTAAAAACTCAAAATACAACTCCAGTGTTTCATTTCAGCAAGGATGGGCGATTTGCTAAGATCTAGGGTAGAGATGCAAAATTTCCAAAAAGTCCATTATTTTCTGGGGGGAAAAAAATCACACACTCAGAAGTGTTTTCATTTTATAAGTGGTTTCTTATTGTAAGAACTCTGGTGTACAGGGCTTATTTGCTATCATCCCTAAAGTTTCTATAGGTTGCGTCAGCCTTCCAAAAGAAAATGTTTCTGGGCTAAAAAAAAGGAATAGTGAAAGAAAAAAAATTAAAGATGAGAATTGCACCCAGAAAGGCATGATTTTCCTCTCTCTTTTTTGCAACATAAAAGGAAATGAAATAAAATAAAATGGCAGCTGCATACATTTCCCAGGCCATTTTATTTTTAGTCATGTTTTTCAGGCAGCAGCTGCTGGTGTGGGGAAGCAAAAATGGCTTGGGGAGCAGGGTAGTATATGTCACTGTTGAGGTTGTTGTGTTCCCTTAAGCAGCCGTCCCCAGCTGGAAAGATTTTGGGCAGCCGAGAAGGACTTCTACGACTGCGTGTTCAGATAGATGCCAGTCGCAACCTGGCCCTTGTGTTGGTCTATATTTCCCATCATCCTATTCACCATGACCAGTCTGGAAGACATCAGGCTGATGAAGGCTGGACTGAAGTGGGTATCTTGATTGAATAAGCAGCTTTGGATGCTCAGTCTTTGAAGAAACAACAATATTTTTCAATGGAAAAACTGTAACAACTTCTTCATGTGATGATGGGGTTAATCCTGATGAAGAAGATGAACATGTGGACTGATCTGCATCATCATGTTTAGAGACCACAGATGATATCTGTAGCAAGAATCCAATAATGTTTCCCAAAGATTTCATCTTATCTGTTTTTTTTTAAAAAGCAAACCCACCTAATTCACCCATCTGGAAATAATAAATGGATCCTTCACTTCTTGCTCTTTTCTGAATGCTGTCATGCAGTTCGTGGCTCAAACTGTGTGATAAAATGTCATAAAACAATATGAAATGTTAATGGGGGAAAAATTAAATGCATTTTAACCACCACACAACTTGAAGATAAGTTTGTTTGTTTTTCTGGGCACTGAAAATGAATAGATAAAGAAAAGTGGGGGCAGGGCAGGGAGCAGGGAGCAGGGTATTTCTCATACATGCTCCAAAGGCAACAGTAGGTGATACCTCTATTAAAAATTAATTGTATGCTATCAAGTTAGTTCTGAGTTATGGTGAACCTTCTCAGCGTATTCTAGGTAGTGAGTACTCAGAAGTAGTTTACCCTTCCGTTCTGGGGCATCTTGTGGCTGTGCAGTTTGCCCAAGGTCACACAGGCTGGCTCTTCTGATGGCACAGTGGGGAATTGAACTCCCAACCTCTGGGTCTGCAGCCAGTTACCCTACTCATTGAAAAATCACAAACAGATGCTAGCTTTCAGCCTTTATGAGCCTTCATCTAATAGCAC